TTTACCAGGTCATGCTTTCTCAAAGCAGTGGGGCCTGGTGCCAATCCCAGCTTTCATCGAGCGAGAGGCGGGGCACTCCCTGGACAAGCTGCCATCTCCCTTTGTCACAAACTGGGATCTCAGAATAATAGCTGTGATGGTTGGGAGGGAGCATGCCGGGTCAATAAGTCTGAGATGATGCTGTGGCAAAGCCATTTAAGGCTTTGAAAGTGAGCAGTAAGATTTAAAAATCATTATGCAACAGGAAGCCAGTGGAGGATGGCGAGCAGAGGAGTGTCTTCATGCTCTTTTTGTCCCAATAATGAGTCTGGCTGCTGCTTTTTTAATGAAAAGATTTTTAAAAAAGCTCTGACGTGTAACAGAAAATGAGGAATTAAAGTGATGATGGAGACAACAGACAAAAGTGAGCATAGCCTTTTTTTTTAGAAAATCAGCATTTGAAAGAAATCCCCTGAATTTTGAGACGGAAAACATGACTGAACAGCCTGCTTCGCTGGAGCATGAAAGCTGAGGTTAGAATGAGATATTACTTTTTATCAGTAACCTGATATAATAAGGACTAAAGACGGTTGAGGAACAACAAACCATAACAGTTGCTGACTAATCATCAGAATAATGAGGAAAACTTCACGATTATAAGTCAGAAAGACGAGTAATGACATGCTGCTGTTACCATGGCTTTTGCTGACATGTACTAGTGAGGATCATTAATGTACATACATTTGGCCTTGAATATGATGAGCAAATGGTAGCATGGAAATAGAGGAGTGACGAGGGCCAAAGGCTGAGTCTTAAAATATGCCAACAGTCAGCTGAGCATTTTGAGAGTTTAAGCTTTCCAAGTCACTAAAAAGGTGTGATTAGAGAGTAATGAGGGTCACAAGCTCGTTGTCACACCCTTCATTTCAACCCAAGACTCAAAATGATTAAGGGTAACATGAAAGAAGGAATTTAGGTCTGTTTCCTCTCAGCATTAAATCATCCCCTCTCTAACTAGTCTGCATTAGGAAGTGCTCTAAAAACCAGACTGAAAGATATAAAAAAAACACTTATTATTATCATATTACACTGTAATATAGATCGCTGGTCTATAATTACAGTACCTAAAGAAATGGAAGAAGTCAGGGACATTTTGAATATTTACTATAATACAGTTTACTGGTCAATGCGAGGCGTGTGTGGGATAGATTCAAACTTCTGTATGTAAAGCAAAACCCAAATATCTTCAATGGCAAATAAAAAGAAACAAGTGACACATTACATTTATAAAACATCTTCTATCGCAAATTGATTAATCACATATTTAAGTTTATTTAGTTACCTGTGGTTATGTGGAAACCTGAGCAGACCACTGCACTGTCTTTGTTGAATGACTGTCGAAAAAAAGGAAAGGTTTCCTTCCTCTGGGACGAAATCCAGATGTTCTAATGAGACGGTCAGTGACAGCTGATAATAGGCAAAGTGCAGGGCTCTCCCACTGGCCCTCATGCCCCAGTCTCAGCAGGCCCTGGCAGATGCTTTTCCCATTTCTAAATGTCAGTCTGACTCATTGCCATAATTCTTCATTACAAATTTGGCTGGCAATGCTATTTCTGTGTCTTGAATGGCTCGTACATGTTCTCCTGTTATGTTGAAGTCGGTTTTAGTTTAGTTAGTTTAGTTTTTTTGGTGAATAGAGATCAAAAGCCTTTTAGCCCCCAGTTTAAACGTATTGCTGGCAGCAAACCGCCACATCTGTAATGTTCCATTACCTCCAAATATCTGAAATTAGAAGGACATTTGGTCAACTGCAGTTGCAGAGAAAAGCTGTCTGGAAAGCAAGATCAGAGCGGAAACTGTGGCTTGTGGACATTTCTAGAGGCCAGCTCGCCCCGTGAAAGCTCCCCACAGTTACCCCAGCCATGGGCTACAGGGGGTAGAGAGCTGGAGCATTTCAAATAATGAGAGAGGGTGAAGCCAGATGAAGGAGATTGAAAAGGTTTTAGGAGCTGCGAGGATAGAGTGAAAAGCCCGGGCAATTATTTAGTATAATGAAGGAATTAATAAGTGTTAAATGCGATGGGAAAGCAGGTTAATACGTTTAATGAGGGAGGCCAAGAAATAATGGGCATTTCATTTGGTCCAGTGTAGGAATTAAAAGAGAAAAAAGGGATTATTATCTGAAATGCATTAGGAGTATAAGTGTGTATGAAGAGAAACACACAAAGCGCTAACAGGGCAGCGTTTTAGAAGCCCGACTCAGCAGATAGTACCGGTCCTCCCAAGGTCATGCATGGTGCTGGAATTAAAGCTATTTCCTCCCTCAGTGTGACCGAGTGTGAGCAGAGAAATGTCTGGAATGCGTGATACTTTCCAAAAACACCCCTTTTGCTTCACAACTGACTAAACCGAGGAGATTTAATGACTTGACGAGTTGCAAATCATGGCTGTTCGTTTACATGCAGCGTAGCCTGAGTCCCGCTGCGCCCCCAAGTGTCTCCAGCGGAATGAAATGCCGTCAAAGACTCGCTGTCCGTCGGTCGAGAGCAGCTGAACGGTCCAGCGCCCGCCGTACAGCCAGTGAGGCTGTCCGGTGCTGCTGTCCGATGCGCGCTATAGATTTCATATCGATGCATAAGTGCAGCGGCCTCCGGCCACATCCTGTTACGCACGGCTGATGTTTCACCAGGCCACATGAAGTAGCTGGGAACAGGATTCCAGGTTAACCACAGTGGTCTCAATGAGCTGCAGGGCTCCTTGATTGAGCTTTATGCTGTAATCCGACAACACAGATAAGAAGACAATATGGAAAACTGCTTGAATGCTTGAAAAAAAACATAATTCGCACCTCAGCTCTATTTTAAAAGTAAAAAATTCAAGAAGTTTAATCATCCTCACAAAGCAAAACTATGGTAGAAACTCAGCTTTCAACAATGTTTCCTTATATAATACTGTCAATAAGTAAATGAGAAATATGAGGAACAGACCTGTAAGTTTTCATTTTTCTGCCCTCGAGAATCTGTCGTATTGTCATACCACTAATGAATAACACTAAAACGAGCTGTAGGCTGAAGCTGTGAGTTGTGGGGATCAGTGTTGATGAATTCGACTTTGTTAACTCAAATAGAGGCACACTAAGGTCTAAGGTCACAGTAAAGTCTGAGCAGAATGAAATAGGGATTAGCTCATTTGACAAAACCTCAGTCGTACGTAAGAAAGGGGATGCTTTTCCCATCTCAAAAAATCTTTATGTCATTATTTAAGAGCAGTGTTTTTATTATAAAAAAACCATTAGTTATTTTTTTTAAATCAATACAGAATTCTTATTTTCTCTCTCACCTCCAAAAACACAGTAGTCGTGTTCAGGGTGATCATCTGTCTTGGGAAGTTCACTGCATCTTTTGAATGTTTCTCTGTCTTAATTATATTATTCACGGTTACACTTTCCACCCCCAAGAGATGCAGAATACAAACACCGCCTTTTTCAACAAAAAACATCAAATGACCAACTCATTAAAATCCCACAGACAAAAGCTAGCCATGCAAAGCTAGTTATGTCAGATTTTATCATCCAACTACAGAACTACTCAAATTGCCATTTTTCTCAGTTTAATCAATATGCAATTTTGGAAAAGAAGGATGTTTCATATTTTTTCTTTCATTTTCCCCACCTTCTCCTTTTGGCCTCTTGATAATAGCTGCTTACTGAGGAGTATACATTTTGGCAGATATCCGTTCAGCAGATTATGGTACAGATCCTGTCTTTTTTTTCCTTCTTCTAAAACTAAAACTACTTTCAAGATTTGGCTTCCCACTCACAAAGCTGGCTTTTGCAAATGGAAAAGGGGGCTCAGACCAAGGTAATATCTATTGAGCATCCATCTGGAGTCGCAAAAGTTTTAGGAGGGAAGTTTTGATTGAAATGACAGAGCAGTTTGCTTATTTGAGATGTCAGGCTGCACATCCCAGATGGGAATAAGTCAGGAATGAGTGATGGCTGGAGCCAGCAGAATCAGCACAAACATTCATAACTCTGCACTTATTTCAGACTCCGTCCTTCTGAAGGCTCGGATCTTAGTCACTGCAGCTGCCAGTGATCTGAAATGATTAATCTGACAGTTATAAAGAGAGAAGAAAAAAGTATCCAGTGAATATTTCAGCTAAACTAATAAACGCAATTCGCATAAGCCCCTGTTCTGTTATGCCTCGGCAAAAGTACATTAGAAGGCACATCTGCCTTGTTAAAAGCCTCTCATCCTCCTGTAGGGTCGCAGCACTCTCAGGTCGCTCTTATTCTTATAAATTGTCAGATATTTCAGTGACTCAGTGTTTGTCATCACGGGCTTCTCTATTGCTCACACTGACATTTAATTTCCGGCTATGATTCTGTGCATCTCTTTTGTCTATTCATAAAAATATGACCAACGCAACGAAGGCGTCAGGGAAAACAGAGAACTGAAATATAATACAGCATCAGACTCAATGCTGCACAATCACCTTTCTTTAAGCAGCCAATCAAGGCAAGAATTAGCATTAATCATTGATATATAAGACAATATATGCAGTTTTGTTAGAAAGACAAAATATGAATAGGGAAGTTCACATTATTATAAAAGTGCTTTTGTCTCCTGTTTGAAGCAATTCCAGGCCGAGCCTCTGTTTTTAATTATTTCCTGCCATCCTACCTCGTACACTGTCCTCATCCGTCTACTTAATTACAGTTGGTTTCAAAGTGTTGGCAAATGCAATAAAAAAGTTTGGAATGAATAAATCTGCTGTTGGCAGCTCACTAAACACTTGGCTGCGGATGAAAAAGACCCTGATGTTTGCGGAAAGGACCACACATTTATAAACGACAAAACGTGACAGCTGGCAAGTTAGTAACTAGAGGAAATGCGGTGTAGCTGATTAATAAACACCGAGAGACGTACTGCTCAGCAGATGGTGAAAATAACTAATAATTCAGAACATAACATTTCACCCAGTGAATGTTTCCTGTTTTTGCCCCTTTTTCTGGTCAGGCATCAGGCCACCCATCATGAACGGGCCCATGCATCCCCGCCCCCTGGTGGCGCTCCTGGACGGGCGAGACTGCACGGTGGAGATGCCCATCCTGAAAGACGTAGCTACTGTAGCCTTCTGTGACGCTCAGTCCACACAGGAGATCCACGAGAAGGTAATCCACCCCACATAATGAAACTCACATGAGAATTTATGTGTTTTTTTACGCGGAGACAGAATCTAAAGAGGCAGAGCCTTTGCTGTTTCTCAAACGGGTGTGGAATAGCTCTCATAATCTCTTGATTTAACCTTTGCTGATATTAAAAAAAGAGAAATTTAAATGAAAAATGTACTAAATAAATCTCTTAATATACATTTTCTGGTTAATAATAATATCTCTGCCACTGAAGAAATCCAAAGTGACTCCAGCTGGACCCAAAGTGAATTTGGATGTTTAGCCCAATAAATCTCATTGAATGGCAAAGAATATCTGAACATGTGAAAGAATTAATTAGTTAGCTATCTGTATAATAAATGTGTGGATCGCTGCAGTCTGTTTCACGTTAACAGCATCAGACTGCCATGACTGAATAAAGAGGTCAAACAAACAGAAAACTTCAGGTCAAGTTAAAATGTAAAAGAAGAAATAAAAAAGAAAAAATGTAGATCCTACCTCTATTTGATTATTTAAATACATTTTCTTTTTTTACCATATCAAGCTGTTTAAACGATAAATTATATCAGCAAGTGGCATTTTTCAGGTAGAGAATTCCTGTTTACAGATGCAGATTTTTGCAGTTTTTGTCAGTTTCCACGCGTTGTCTAAAAGTATCGGCGGCTTAGACGCGTAGAAAAAAGTGAAACCCAACTTTCAATCAAAGACAAAACCCTTTTAAACTCCCAACTTTTGTGTTTTATTGGCTGCAAACCTACCCAGATGCATTACCCCCACATATCTCAAAGTGACGGGAGAAAATCTGACTGAAAAGTCTGGTTGTCATTAAGGAAGTGCAACACTTCCTCAAGCAAAACCAGACACTAAAAAAAAGTAGTTGAGGAAGAATGACGGACACAACATGGACAACCTGAAATGTGGGTCATGCTTGGATCTTGCCCCGGCCACTGTGGATGGTAAATGGGTTTGTTTGTCTGGCCGAGGCTCGTCTTGATCTGGGCGTCTGCCAGGCACACTCGCTCAGCGGGCCACAGCGTGGGGGGACCAGATGGCTCCCGCTCTCTCTGGCTCACCGCTGAGCCTCACTGAGTCATTTAAAGGATATTCTTTACTGTAATTGAACCGCATGTCATTCTCACCCCGTCACACAAACATAAAGCGGAGGGCCGGCGACATTGGAAAGAGATCATGCAATTAACAGGGAGCTGATTAAATGATGGTTGAACAGCTTTAAAGAACAATAGACAATTCTGTTCTGTATGAAAATCTAATTATAGGCCTCTGAGTAATTATACTTCAGTGTCAGCTAAGACGATGAGACATCAGCCAAATTAAAAATCTCAGAGAATACCATGAGGAGAAGACTTCTGCTACTGTCAGATGTAAGCTCCGGAGACCTTATTTTCTATGGTTAGACGATACTTAACTCCGAAATGATTACATTTTCTGGAAAAAGAAAGGGGGATGCTTTCTTAGTCAAGTCACTATTTTTACAGTGTGCGGACAGTCGGGGCTGGCTTTAATGTAAAAACACACTAAAGACAAAGTTCCCTGTCATAGTTTATGTTTTGTTTTTCAGGTCTTGAACGAGGCTGTGGGGGCCCTGATGTACCACACAATCACCCTGATGAGAGAAGACCTGGAGAAGTTTAAAGCTCTCCGCATCATCGTCCGCATAGGCAGCGGTTATGACAACATAGACATTAAATCTGCTGGAGAACTCGGTACGAGATGATGATGTTGCCTGCGATACAGCTTGAAATTTCTTCATTCAATTTCGTCATTAATATTTGCAGGAAAAAAAGCTAAAACACGTCTCATCTCTTTCATGCAGCACTCTGAGCTTTACCCTCTTTGCATATCTCTGGCGTTTGAAAGTGTATTTTGGTCTTTTGTACTGAAAAGCGCTGACACAACGCCACATGCCTGCACTTCCTTCCTCTAAGATTGCTCTCACGAACCTTACCGCTTTTCCGAAAGCAGCCCAAAAAGCGCCCGCTGATCCCGATCTGCTGTGTGCTCCCACAGGCATAGCTGTTTGTAATATGCCGGCGGCCTCGGTGGAGGAGACGGCCGACTCCACACTCTGCCACATCCTCACCCTGTACCGACGCACCACCTGGCTACACCAGGTTTGTAGCCTCCTGTGGATTAAAAGAGGGGAAAAAAGCTAATATGTACCAGATTTAAACAAATTCATTCTTACCGTGCCCTGCATTCGGTTCTGACTGTTTTCTAGTTTTTGGACGTTTAATAAACACTGTGTGGTAACATATCAGCGAAATTGAAACATTTCATTTTCTTTAGAATGTGGCTGTATTTGAAAGACGTTGATGTAAAGGGTAGAAGGTACAGTAAAGTGATTTGTTCCTCAAATCATCATTTAGACTTCATCACAACCATGATCACTGTCTGTGAAATGCCTCAGCTTCTGGTTGTAAAGTGCACAGTCCTGACACCGGTGACGGCCGGGTCGTGTTCGGCTGTCATGTTTCTCCGCTCCCTTTTCACGTGTGGAGGGTGATAATGAATCGCTGTTTGTGTCAGGCTCTGCGCGAGGGCACCAGGGTTCAGAGCGTGGAGCAGATCCGGGAGGTGGCGTCGGGGGCGGCGCGGATCAGAGGGGAGACCCTGGGACTCATCGGGCTCGGTGGGTAACAGCACTGACGTGACTTCAAGCGTCAGCAAAGGCAACACGGGCAGCATTCATGAAGTGGTGTTTGGTGAGAATGCTACACTATCAGCGGAGTTCCTGCTGGGGAAATGGACTGGGTTCTCCATCTTTTCCAAAAACGCTAATGTTCTGGTTATTAACCCGTCAGAGGCTTTTTTCTACAGTTATGAGCACAATCGTGACAAGAGAATTCTGAAATTTCTTTAAAAAACAAACAAACTTGTCAGCATTTCAGTGTTTAGTCTTTTTTTTTAACGATTGATCTCTTGGCCTCTGTGTCCCCCTCCATGTGTGTGTGTGTGTGTGTGTGTCTTTAGGGCGGGTGGGGCAGGCTGTAGCCCTGCGGGCCAAGGCCTTTGGCTTCAATGTGATTTTCTATGACCCCTATTTGGCTGATGGGGTAGAAAGATCCCTGGGACTACAAAGAGTCACCACACTGCAGGTAAACAAACATATGGAGGAACTTCACGACCTTTTACGACAGTGAAAGAAATCCGTAAATTTGACCACAACATTAATTTATTTTGAATTATGGGATTATGAATGTGTTGTCTCAGGTAATACATGTCATCCAAGGATTGGTAACAGCGGAATTTCAGTAATCGATTAAACAGAGTCACCAAATACATAGAAAAAGCTGAAATTGAATGTCTTAGTCATACTAAAACCAGTTAAACCACGAGTACTCGGCTAATACACATAAATATTGCTGTTGAGAGTCAAATGATTCAATGGCACTGAAACTGTCAGCAAACAGAGGAAAAAGAAATAGGAAACAACAGCAAATAAGATGTTTTTTTCAATATAAAAAAACATCAATCATACAGCCTGTGTGAAAATACCGATAAAGGCATCTTATTCAGCTAACGAACTGAGAGGATATGATAAAGCAAAGCCATCCTGAGACAGAGCTCTTAAACAGGGATCTCTGGGCCTTTCCCTCCTCAGGATCTGCTCTTCCACTCCGACTGCGTCTCCCTGCACTGCAGCCTCAACGAACACAACCACCACCTGATCAACGACTTCACCATCAAACAGGTCTACTACCCGCGCACCTACACACACACGCGCTTTATGAAAGGATTCATTTGTCTGCGCATCAAACACCGCGTCCCACAGGGATGAATACAAAAACACCCAGGAACACCCATCGCTGGCCCAGATGAACAAACTGTTCTCTACTGTCTCCACTGTAGTTTAGTTGTGTTGCCAGTGCAAGGATTTTAGCTCTTAAACTTTAATGACTTTGCTGTAGGAAGGAAAATAAAAGGAATATTGCATCATATGGTTCAATAACATATCACACAGTTGGGTCGTTTTCTCTGGGAAAGTTCATCCTCATAATCCTAACAATGTATATAGTGTCGGTTAGTAATGAACACAACAACTATAAATCTCATTTGAGGGCGTTTCACTTTTAACTGTACGGTATATGTGTGTGTGTGTGTGTGTGTGTGTGTGTGTGTGTGTGTGTG